GCCAACTTAGTTGCGCGGAAGATGATTGGATATGATGAAAGAAGACGACTTACTTTGATAAATATGAAACGCGGTTTTTCACAGGCCTAAATTTTGGAAGAAATCTTTGACGCACTGAGGATTTTAGACTTCAATCGTTAAATGCGTTTCAGCTGACCCTCATTGATGAAAAATCGTAGATTTGTGAAAAAATCTTGGAGAAATTTATGAAACAAAAGGACTCTGACTATGGTTAGTTTCCGAAAACAATTGGGGTGATCGCCAAATTTATAAGCGCAGGGTGTGCCAGGGTTACGTCATTGGGATAAAACGCAGAATTGTGTTTAGTGTCTCCCCCTTTGGAGGGATTAACAGTTCCATAATGCAGTGCGCTTATATTTGCTGCTGTGGTTGCTGTGCCAGTTCACGGTGCGACATTTGCAACCAGAATCTTCGTCAGGCATTTATCTTACAGTGAATTATTTTGATGTCTTATGCCGAGTATTCACCCCGTCAATGGATAAGGCTGAATATTTTCCAAAAAATTGAGAAAACCAATTGTTATAGAGATGCGTTGATCATTTATGTGTGCTGATCATATATGTTAGGACAAATCCATATTTCGAATACTTTAAATGGATGGGGCGTAAAGCGTTCGATTCCAAATCCGTTTGCTCTCGGTCTACTTCTCTGTTTGTTTTATTGCCACTACAGCTGAACAATTGCCCCCGGTTTATTTAGGAAAACACTTCATTATGTGTACAATGATCAAACAAAAGCCCATGACATAAAGTCCCGAGGGTGTTGTACACCGCAGATCCAGGGAATAAACAGACCAAAAGATTATGTGCATGGAGATTGGATGAGGTTAGATACTCTAGGAATATAGGAGTGTTTTCGGTCCCTGGGTGAAGAAAACTTCATGAAACGACAGCGGTAAGGCAAGTTGAATAGAATGATCCCCAAGATTTGAGCAAGAATTCATCACAAAGAAAAGTTACCGTCTTATTCTGAGGAAACATTTGATCCGGTAAGCATAAGCCTACTGGCTCGTAGCCTCTATTGCTTTGAACGTCATCAAGTATACAACCAAGGCACTCAAGAATCCGTTTGATTCCCTCAAAACTAGGTTGGTTTGTTTAACTACGCTCCTTATATGGAGTGCACAAAAACGATAGGATGGAGTGTGCAAATACTTATTTACTATAATTATACTTCCTCGAACACTTCATTGAACATAAATCTTCAACACAAACCAACGTTGAAGAAGTTTGATTGCATTTGAGCAACACCTGCACGTGTTATTCGTGAAAGGTCTTCCATTTGGACTCCATGTGTGGTAGTCATGGTGAATATTTTGATTAACATTCTTGGGTCGGCAGGACGTTTACTTCGAAATACACTGCTTGGTCACCAACAAGTCAATAGATTTTTATCAAACTTCGACCTCGAGGTGGAGTATTGCAACAGTGTGTAGCGTCAATCGTCTTAGCTTTGCGGTTTTATCTGGAACGATCTGGATTTAAACGGATATATTTCATATTCACGCAATTTCCAATACGCAGTTTCCAAGTGGTGATCACAGCTACCACTTACGAGCGCTCAGCAAGAATACTCAAAGTTACGGATTGATCACAAAACCCGTTTCTTGAGTGTACCCCAAGGAAAGCTCGGGTTTGGTAGCTGCAATCAACATTCCTAGAGGAAGCCGTATTACGAGATCAGTTTGAGGTATAAAAAACAAACAAACTATGGAAGCCATGTGGTAAATTTTATTTCCACGCGGCAAAGAAATTATAAAAACGTTCGTCCACAATCACATCTGAATTGATGACCAACAGCAGAATTAGGCGCATGCCACGACATTTGCAATTTTTAAACATCAAGTATTACGTATTAACTGAACATGGGCAAAGAGTGAACTGCAATCGGACAAAGTTGACGTAATATGGAGTTGGTGGTGTGAGGAGATTTGGGATTTTTGTGGAGCTTTCGTCCTGTAGGTGGAGCCAATCTACACTGAAACGCCGAGAAGTGCTACTCGGCTTTCCAGCATAGATTGGCTTCACTTACAGGACGAAATCTCAACAAAGTAATACGCAGTCTTGCAATAGGGGAGAACGTAGTGCCAAATAAATTACTCAGCAATTAAGAATAGACACACTTCTACTTGCTGCGCATTGCATTTTATAGGGTTAATTAAAACAGACATTTACGGAAGTCTCGAATAAAATGGTGACGTTAATGTAGAGACACCCAACCATGAAGTTCTTAAGTACTAGTGTCATATATAATATCCGGATCACTAAACAACTTCGCATCGCGGTCATATTTTGATGATTGCAGCTCAGCATGCAGCATATAATTATCCGTTTTGACGGTACTGCTAACTGTATGATATTTCATTTGTTACACTGGAATCTGATGTCTAATTTGGCTTTAAACGTGGGTAAATGCAAAGATATATGCTTTCTTGAAACCGCTGAACTAGTTTCCTGCATGAAAATGTCCATTGCTCACAAAGTGCTCTGCGGATTTTTTGCAGACTGTGAATTAAATGATGGCGCCAACTAAAACCGGTTACGCGTCTGCCGTCTAAGTTGCACCAAGTTATGGAGTTATGATACCTTGAGAACCAAGTTTGTGTGCAGTTCTCGTTTGAATTTAATTTTGTTTTCATCTGCAGGAAACTCATCCAACTTTCAGTCAGACAACTCAAAATACACCCTGGACATATAGGCAGGTAGGCTTTCCCCGATTTTAGCTGAACCTTCCTATTATTGTACAGACTTGATGAATAGACCACTTCATGGATAAACGATTATTCATTATTTTCCGTTTCGAAACCCGACTGCATCATTACCTAAAATGTTTTTCTTTAATCTAAAGAGGGCCGCGCACGCAAACAATCCTCTTTAGTATATCAGGAGATTTTTGCTGGCGCCAAATGTTGCTACTTCTTGACTCACCCTGCGTTTCATGTGAATGTAAACGTACATTTAATTTGACCGCACGGAAAAAGATATCTACTTAATTCCTGCTTTTTCGTTAATAATAATTTCCTATACAATGACAGAGTATGTTTGCCAATCACCACTTTGCATGTGAACGAAATAGCCGCACGTACTGATATTATGCAGAACCTCTAAAAATTTCCTCGTTCCTTGCTTAATCCGGGTGGTTTTCCACGAATTCAGAAAGAATACCTTTTTGTAGCGTGCCATCTAATAATCACGATTAAATCTGGACAGTGGATAAATAAATGTCTCTTATAAGCCCATTCTTGGAGAGACTGGAGGCGGCAGTTTTTTAAAGCCTCATACCGGTCTCAAATAATGGAATGGATATCTGCAAACGGAGATGCAGGACATTTCAAGAGCGTGCGCAAACTGGTGGCGGAGTCTGCATGACTACATGGAGCGTTCGAGATAACAGTATATAATATTACATAACATAATTTGTAACTTAGTGATACATGCATGACTGTGGAAACTGGCATAAAATGGATGTAATACGTAATGCTGCTTTTGATTGCAAATGCGATATTGTAGAAGGCTTTCAATTGTGAAAGTTATCCAGGCAATCCATGGGCACTTTCGCAAAATTTGAGCAAAAATGTTTGGAAGAAATCGGACGTGAACGATCCAGACATAGAAGGTCTGCAGTTGAATCAAAAATGTTTACTTAAACGCCGCCAAATCTTACTACGCTGTATGTTCACAATTGTGCTCTAGATTGGAGTAGAATATCACTTAGTCTGGCCCCAGGTTTCAGCACTTTCTATGTGTGGCGCGCCTGTTGAAACAATGTTAATTGGCCAATTTAAAATGTTCTGCGATTCTAAAGGATATGGAATGGGAATGGCAATTTCATCGAGATTCACGGTGGTGCCAATTAAACATTCAATATATTCGCACTACGTGGATCTAAGTAACATTGTCCTGCAATAAGTGTTTTGCTTGATCGGGACAAACAATTCAAAATCTTCAACCCTAGGCCAAGCGACGCCCTGTGACCACCTTGGGAAGGAATACATACGGATACAATGGAAATCGTTGTCTGTGAGGTGGCTTCTATTGTAAGCACACCCAACCTGTGAAAGCGCATCATTTGGGCAACAAAAAGTCGAAATCTGTTAGAGAACGGAAACGGTTGAACTTTTCTGCGACTAAAATCTTGATTGTCGAGTACACTGCCCAAATTTTCTAGTTTACGATAATATTTTGACTTCCTTCTCTTATGCACTAGTTAGTTGTGGGAGTTCACAGATGTCCGCAATAGCTGTTGAGCAAAATGCACGAAGCAGTGGTCCAACCAAGTATCACGTCCAATATATGCAGCTTATTGGAGGTCGCGCGATCCGCTACACAGCAAATTGTAATTGATCAATTTTGACGAGTGGTTTTACTGGTCTCAGGTTGGGTCCTAGCAATGGCCCTACAATCGTCATCTAGCATAATAACGTGGAAACTGTAGTTATACATCAGTGAAGAAAAGAATCCTTAGGAATGAATAAAGCAAAATGGGTTTCAGTGGCTTTGTGCGCTTTGACTATGCAAGCTTTCGAGTAAGTCACACTCGCGTTCTGACTTACCATAACAATTTCACAACAGATTAGATCTCTACTACCGTAGCAAAGGACCATTCCTTGAGAAACGAGATATTATGTTTGCGGATCTCGCCTTAACTCAGGAGGTAAGTCTCCTAATTCTTTTGTCACCAAGGTTTGAAGAGAACCCTATTAGCAATGAGGTCATTGGGTACACCTGCTCAAACATTTTGCGTTATTGTTGATACAACTCTCTATGGTACTGTGGTCATATCCTCAATAACGCGACAAGCTGAATGGAGCCAGAAAAGTAAATTCCATAGAGCACGTTCAACAACCGCGGAGACGCTAAATCGTGTGCTCAGCCTCAGAGGTGCAAGGACAACCATTGTAAAAGATAATTTAAATGTTGGTTTGACTAAATTTTATTCAATTTGCTTTCAAATAGCTCAACGGAATTCCACCTACTCGAATGGCGTTCTTTCTGCTTAGTTCCCACAAACCGGTCCAAGGACTGCCTCCTGCAGCTGATGGCCATCTGGGTTCGGGACACTCAGAGGCTACAAGGACAATCGCTGACTTAGGCATTTTGAATGTTTTGTCAGAAGCCCAGCTAATAGACTACAAGAGGTTCACTATACTTTGTGTATGGTATGTTTTCCAACTTGTACCATTCATTTGATGTGAAATAAGTGTAGCAATTTTCTAGTTCGTAATGCAGTGGGAGCAGCGTTATCTGGAAATGTGTACGTCGTCGACTGTGGCCAGATAAATCAGCTACCCACTCTCATTTACACCTTCCAAGGGTTTGAACTGAGTCTACTCCCCGAACAATATGTTCAAGAAGTAAGTGCAATCAGTGAAAGGTATCTCCTGTTGTGACTGGGGAGCAAGCCGAATGATTGAACACGAGTGTTGCTCACGTAGTGGCTAGTTTTACGTGGAGCGTTGTTGCATGTTTGCGAAAATTATGGTCTAATTATAGTGCGGGTTGAATCACGTTGGTAGCAGCATACAACTGCTCAACATGTTCCAAGCAACCGTTCGTGTGAGGCCTCGGTTGATTCACAATTTGGCCAAATGTTCTTCCGGTTACGCAGTATTTTTATTCCTTGCTCAGAAAGCTGTATTTTCAACTCCTGATTATTCAAAACAAATTTATCAAAATCAAATGGAGTTCAATTTTCCACGTTAGAGGGAGACGCGCGGACCGACTCAGTGTTTCAGTTCGATCGTTTCAGATCCAGGAATAAGAAACGAAGACATGGTTTTGGGAATGTCTTCCATGGAACACTTTTTGACGATGTTTGATCAAGAAACGAAAAGTGTGGGATTCCAACCGAGGCTCTGTTGAATTTGATTGATAGTTTCTCACATAACATTTTTTGCGCGCAAATACAAATGCATTTTCATATACGCTCTTCTTTTATTCTTCAAATAGTAAGGTGAACCATTGCCTTCCGGCTTCTTTCTGCCGTCAGGATACATGCTAGAAGAACACAGTCCCTACTTCCGTGTATAATTTTGCTGCCTCAAAGTGACATTAAATAAAATAGAAAACACGTTATCCAGTACGATTTTGTAGAAAAATATTCGGAATATGCTGCTTCATCCATGCGTCTAGGCAAATTAATTTTGAACTGTGCCGCCATGTGCACACCAAGTGAATCCCTGAAATGTGAAAAATTTGTTAGTGGGTCATTTCTGGCGATAACTGAGAATCTCTTGACTATGGTATACTCACGATCCAAACGGGTGCACACATCCCGCACTGATACATTCATGGAATCAACTGATCATGCATGTGAACCAATGGGTGTATTATCGTATGGTACTGCGCAGCAGAAAACTTCGACCTTTCTTCACTGTAATGTGGATCTTGCATGAGTGACCCTCAGGTCGTCAATCTCCACAACCAGCTTAGTGGATCATAGCGACACGCGAAATGGAAGTGCCATTTACATTATGATCTACACTCATTGTCATCGAAATGCATCAAAACTTTCTCCCTAATTGCCAAAGTGATCTCAATATTACCTTCGAAAAACTTTTATTGGATTTGCAATTCTACCGCAATTTTGATTACACCGCGGTGGTTCTTTTGGCTTTTTTTATTGTTCACGTTCTGTAACCTAATGACAGCTTTAGATCTGGAGAATTTGGATCTTTTTATTTCAAAGCATAGTTCTTCAAAACCTCTTGCGGGGCATTGTGTTCAAACATTAGTAGACTTCTCCGTTTCCTGACCGGAGCGTCACGGCAAATTCTTACCAAGTTACCCCCACTAAAGCCCGCTAAACTATGTAGGGAACTTGTTTTGGCTCCACACAAGGTAGTAAGGTCGTGCTGGACCCGTGTGCGTCCTGTGATCTAAGATGCTTATTCCATGCCAGGATACCGCTTCATCATGACGACGACATGTTCACTCAAAATCACTTTAACATAAGAATTTTTACCGTTTCCATGTGAAGTCCTTGCAGTTTTGTAGCATTCCCCAAGTTAGGTGGCTCACTCAGCTATAGGTTTATTCTCCCAACAGGGAATTTTGCGAGCGAATCAATTTACTCCTAGTTAAAAATGACGGCTGAGGAAGAGATCGATGTGTGTCATCGAAGCTTGATGCTCCAGAGGTACTCATATTGCAAGACACGAAAATGTAGACCAAAAAGACTTTTTCTAGCCAATTTACGTCATAAACATGGATTTGCCTAAATTTATAATAGAAAACTGGGTTCAGCTGACGGTAACTTCAGGCTGGAACATCACCTTCCGTGCGTCTGCAGAAACTGAGAAAGTATGTGCTTACCAGCTAACAACACTACATGTGGCTTAGTTGTGCACACAATAGCATGTGGTCTGCACAGTGGACCACCTGGAAGACGGGCAAACATAGAGTGATCGAAGCGCTATTCCGTGAAATAAATAAAGTTGGGCTGACGTCGGATGAAAGATTGTTGTCTTGATATTGTAGCGCCGTTGTAGACAACCTAAAGCGTACCTTTCAGTGCAAGAACACCTCAGCGTTGCCACAGTGATGCCTTATGTCTGCGTCAGTTTCCCTTACCAGTGTACCTTTCAGGTGTCCAGGAGGATAGTCAATCTGCAGGAACATGTATATATACAGGGAGAAAGACCCGAAAAGAAACGCAATTAGAACTGAGTACTTTGTTCTCAAATTCCGGAGAAATTTTTTTCTCAGCGACAAATTTTGGTTTTGACTTGTGACGCGAATCCCAATTTACGTCATAAACATGGATTTGCCTAAATTTATAATAGAAAACTGGGTTCAGCTGACGGTAACTTCAGGCTGGAACATCACCTTCCGTGCGTCTGCAGAAACTGAGAAAGTATGTGCTTACCAGCTAACAACACTACATGTGGCTTAGTTGTGCACACAATAGCATGTGGTCTGCACAGTGGACCACCTGGAAGACGGGCAAACATAGAGTGATCGAAGCGCTATTCCGTGAAATAAATAAAGTTGGGCTGACGTCGGATGAAAGATTGTTGTCTTGATATTGTAGCGCCGTTGTAGACAACCTAAAGCGTACCTTTCAGTGCAAGAACACCTCAGCGTTGCCACAGTGATGCCTTATGTCTGCGTCAGTTTCCCTTACCAGTGTACCTTTCAGGTGTCCAGGAGGATAGTCAATCTGCAGGAACATGTATATATACAGGGAGAAAGACCCGAAAAGAAACGCAATTAGAACTGAGTACTTTGTTCTCAAATTCCGGAGAAATTTTTTTCTCAGCGACAAATTTTGGTTTTGACTTGTGACCGAACGCGAATCCCACATTTGTAGCGGTCTTTATGATGGATGTCAAAAATTGTCTTCTGGCCGCCTTTTAACTACAGAGGGTTACTTGCGACTGATGGCATGCCTGTTTATTTTCCTTTTTATTGTCTACCAATCACTAATATTTCCCTCGGCAGGGGGTGTGCTTATTTTTTTAGACGCAAAATGCATATATTAATGCACGGGTTATGATAGCCATAATACAAATCGGAAGGTGTATGTGTAGTGATAGAATTTTTAGTATGGTGGTGACACGTATACAAATAAATACAATAAGAAAATGGGAGCAAGTCAAGAGGGAGCTTATCGTATGAGATTGTCCCTTGGTCAAAGTCCGGACGGCAGAACGTGTTTTCTCCGCAGTTTGGCTGCTACACGTGTTGGACTTGAAGTGTTTGGCTGACTCCTTGCTCCCTGCGCGCGAGCGAGTCTGTGTCTGTGCTGACTGCATTCGGTTCCCCTATATGTAGTTCCGTTTGCGCGTACGTGGGTGCGTCAGCAAGTGAGTGATTGGTACGCTCACTAAACGGTGCAGACAATCGACATCTGATGAGTCACCTTAATGTGACGTGGTTGTGGGCATGAAAAAGAGACAAGTCTGGTGATCCGGTGAGCGACTGTGGGCTGAACAGTCAGGTGTGTGGGTGACTGGGTCGCTACGCATATCTACCGGCGCAAGTACCGCAAGTATACATTTCACATACATAATCGCAAATTTAAGTCCCGGTTGATCAGTAGTTCCTCCATGGGTCTTTTTGACAAACTGAAACCAAATTTTACATCCTGCGGTGTTGCAGTTCAAAACACCGAACTTGAACTTATCAGTTTTGTTGACCCTGCTGATCACAAAGTTCTCGAAAGCGAGTTGACAATGACGCTGATCACCAGCAGTGCAGCCTCTGGGATGCCGCATGGTGGTACCGAACAATGTATAGGCTAACTCGAGACGTACTGCTAGAAATAATGCCGCTGCTAGCAGTTAAATAGTGGCACCGTACATGTCATATTAGACTGCTATCCGTGCCCGTTGCCGAAAAGACGTTCGCCGATAAGGAGGAAGGGCTTTATTTGGAGCCAGTGAATTTACCCTTAAAATACAATGGCACCCTATATATTCAGGGGGAATGTCTAATCTAGCCAAAGTTTGTCTAGCACTTGCTGATTTTTATCCGCGTTTATTTTGCACTGTTTAATTTTGTTCCAAAACTGTTGAGTGCTAAATGGTAAAGTCAGATCGGCGTTCAGTGACATTTGAGGGTCTAGATAGGCTTCATTTATTTCTTCAGGCATCTGGCCTGCTTGAGCGTGCAAACCAGGCAATAAACTAATGCGATACTCCAACGACTAGTGCAGAAATATGTGTTCTGGGCGGATGAATTCTGATAATTATAGGGTAAAATACTGAAGAGTTTCGTTTGGTACAAACTTGTAATTACGGTCGCTAAATGAATCTGACCTGCCAAAATAGGTCCAAAATTAAGACGTGTTTTTTGTGGAAGAATAGAGCATTTGAGGCCATACGGTTGCGCTACTGAAATATGTTATAAATCACTCGATTCCCAAAACTAGACCGCAAAGGCATCAATATTCTGACTGCAGAGGTCACGATAAAACTCTCATTTGGTATTCATGTGATGAGCATGGAAGATCAAAGCCGTCAGCGAGCTTCGCTACTATGACGACGATGCATTCTGTTCAAGGATAATTTGTGTGAGGACTTTGGGCTGGCGTTCGTTATAAATGTCATATATCACCAAGGTTGTAGACATGTGAGCACACATATGTGGCAAAACAAATTCCGTGTTCCTGAACAAACCAAGAAGCACAAAAGAATGGCCAAAACTATTGTAATTTGAATCAAACGACCAATACAGGTCCCCGAAATGACCTGATGTTTCAATCACTTTGTTTCCAAGGATATTGCTCACGTCCATTTAGTGTAAGTTAACAACGAAGATACATTGTGTCAGCAAACCAAACGAAGACAAGCACTAGATTGTCGTGCACTTTCAATTAGGTCTACCTAAGAGACCAATGAAAAAACATAGTTTACCCTTACCTGTAACCAAAACTTGCCTCTAGCGTGGCTCGTATCATATGTGCCACATTTGTAAAAGCTTACATCTGTGGTGGTCGGTGGTCGCTCAAACTTCCTGGTGATCTTATATGCTCTGTAGAGAATTACCTCAGCATAAGTACCCAAATTTATCACGCTTTTATAAAAATGGACGAGTACCTTCTTCTTAGCACATGGCAACCGGAACCGAACTTGTGGGTCACCTTAAATGATTATTGAGTATTATTAATACAATACGTTTGTGTAAATCCTGGTGAGCGCCAGAAGGTTCTCATCATTTAAATCTTGATTAGGGCGTCCGATTTTATCTACTTAAATAGATTCATAAATATTTTCCGTGGTATATCTTGTATGATTTTTAACATCTTGTGGAGCTGACATACTTCAAAGCAGGCGTAATTTTCTTCACAAATCAGACAATGAACTCTTCTACGTTCCAACCACCATGCAATTGTGCGCCATCCAGAGTTTGCCTGATTC